GGTGGATGTCTTTAATGAGGGAGGAGGTGGTGAATTGTCCATGTGATTCCAAACTCAGTATCCCGATTGGTAGAAAGGCTGATGGAGGAAAGATTGTGGAGGAGAGATGCTAGCTCATCAATCTCAGCATCCTTTAGGTGCCTTCGAAATTGGATGTCCCAATTGTTATCCGACGAGGACCAACATTGATGAATATAGTACTAATTATTAGCTGATGTAAAATTAATACATAACCTTAAGTAACTAAACCACACCTAAAATAGAAAGATATTTACCTACCACATGTTTAGTATCTCATGCCTCCATTGAAACATTCAAATTTTACAACAAAAGATATGCAGATGTTTGGTAGACATTTGATTTCATCTAGAGTAGTATGCAAAAGCAGATAATTAGATACCAGAGAGAGAATACCCCAAATCTATTGACAGGGATTCCCAATAATCACAGTAGTGTGATTTGTCATGTTCGCAGAAAATAATTATATGTAATTAAAGATCCACAAAGAACGACTTTCTATAGTTCACCTTTCTCCAACAATTAACATACAGTTTCAAGCAGCACCAACCGTTTATATTAATTATAAAGAAGCTAACTCTAATTCGACTTCTAATTTCCAAAAACGAGAAACGTACTTTTAATTGATGGGTGAAAAGTTACAAGATATGGTCCAGTAAAGCAAGTAATACATATAGAGAGCAAACTTTCCAACAGAGCTTACAAAAACCCCGCCTCAATTTGTATCAAGTAATGGGGAAAATAGTTGATAAATTCACATCTATAGAAATTCAAATTGAAGAAAAGTTTTGCTAATTTGAATACTTCACTCCTGTCCTTAGTCCTTCAATTGAATAATTTACGCCACATTTGATAAATACTTTGTTTTCTGTTTTTGTTTTTGAAAATTAAGCTTATAAATAAATACTACTTTATTTTTTTTAAACAAGAAACAAATTTATCATTCATCTATGAAAAAATAGACAAATTTTCAAAGATACAAACTCCGAGAGAGCGAAAAGAAAAGAAAACATCCAAACAAATTTACAAAAATTACAATAGGCAAAAATAAAACATTAAGAACAAAATCGTCAAATATCTTGACTAAACAATGAACCAATACAACGAAAAACAGCCCTTCCAAACTGCAAAGAGGCACAAAGATAATTGCAAACCCCCAAACTTCAATGATGAGAAAGTCCAAATATTTGGAATCCAAATCTAAACCACCGAACACTAAAGATGGAAATGCTTTTAGCCTTCTTCTTGATGAACCATGCATCGAAAGAAAATAGAAACGACAGAAATATCCCATAAACAAAACCACAAAACCAAGAAAGATCCACAAAAATCCTACAAATCCTTAGGAAGCATACCACCGTAAGGAAAGATGACCACAAACCCCTGCTTAGACAAGGGTATTTAAGAATTCAAAAGTATTTTTAAGAACATAATAAAGAAACTGTTAAGAATAATTTTTAAAAACAGTAAAACATGCAATTACCAAGAAAAAAAGACGGTATCAAATCTAAATGCTACAGATTGCAAAATAAGAGGAAAAGAACGGTTATAACTTAAAAAGAAAAATAACTAGTAAGTTCTAGTCTAGCCACTATAGTTGAAGACAATGTTTTAAAAGGCTTTTAAGGCTTACGCCTTGAGGCTCGCCTCGAGGCAAGGCTCTAACTTTTAGTCTCAAGTCTTACGCCTTCTTTGGACTATAAGAGGCTTACGCCTCGCATAGAAGAGGCTTACGCCTCTTTGAAAACGCACTGAGGCTTAAAGTATACGCCTCGTGTAATGATTACAAGAATACTATTAATTTTTCCAATTCCTAAAAAATATCAARGTTTTTTTTGTATGGAATCCTAAGCAGGAGTTGTAACAATTCAATCTATTACTACTTTTACTACCTAGACTTTAAAAATATTGAAAGACAACAATTTATAGAATAAGTAASTTCTATTGGYGATAATAGTAGTGATGTTATGATGTTTTTTTAGAATTTTTTTTGAGTGACAAGTAACAAGTGGATATTTTGATAATTTTATATAACTATTATGTTTGGTAATACTTGACCACACAAATTTAGGATTTGTTTAATTCTTTTAATTAAAATTGAGGCTTACGCCTCATACCGCCTTGAGGCTTACGCCTCGCCTTTTCAAGAGAAAAAGCCTCGAGGCCGCCTTTAGCCTTTTAAAACATTGGTTGAAGATGACGAGTGATGGTGATCTCACCAAGCCAACAGTAAAAGGACTAATTCAACCCAAGCATATTTACAAGCATCCTCCAACAACAAATGCATTATCTATTCCTAAACATAGCAAATACAGCCTTGGGATTGAGTGCAATGAATAAACAACAAAGTGAGCCTCATGTTCTAACACATATAATATGCCCAAAAAAGTTATCAGCAAAGTTAAAATGAGCAAGAAAGAATAAATCAGCGAGTTACAAAAAGGAGAAGAGATACCATCCAAACAAGTTACAAAAAACTTCTCCAATGGATGATAAAGAGAAAAACCTATAATGATGGAAAAGGGGAGAATTTATGTACACCAACCAACTTCGGTTCAGTCGGTTTCGGTCAGTCGTATCGGTTTTCGGTTCCTCTTGAATACCATTAGGGAGAATTGTGAACCAGCAAAAGATAAAGAGGATGGAACCCCAAAATGAGACAGCTAATTCACCGGTGCTAAAAATGTGTTGTTGAGAATTGGAACTTCTTTTGCAAATTGTGGATTAGTGGAGGGAGATACACATGTACCGCATTCTACGTTATGTTGAGGCTTGTCAAATATATTTATGGCTTCCTGGCTGAACTACCAAAGAAAAAAACACTCTTTTTATAATGATCTTTCCATATAGCCCCATAAAAGAAATTGAAAGTTTCATAAACCCAATTGAAACTATCTCAACTAATAGGCCACTAGTTATTCATGTATATCAACCACTCTAAATTAGCACTAGCAACACAAAAAGAAATAACCAATCAAGTCTCCAGCGACAACTTTCTTGGTGTTTACAAAATTGAGAACCATTATAAATTCAAGACTCAAAGAAAATAACACATTAACATGTAGTTATGTTAATTCAAGATTGAGCGAAAAGAATACATCAGCAACCCTACTAGAGATGATGCGTAGTATTATATAGTAGTTTAATGAACACAAACAGAATCTTAGGTTTCCATTCTATCAACAAAGGCAAGATTTTCAGAATTCTACCCAGAATAATAGAAGAATAGATGTAATTGTCCTTCTAATGCAAATTTTCCACGTATACCTTGAATGTCTACAATCAGCATACACCACATATATCTTACAGCTAAAAGGTGTTTTTCTCTCTTTTAATGGGGGAAAAAAAACAAACAAACAAAACAGAAGAATTGTACAAGTACAAAGCAAAGCTACAACCAACTAAATTATAGTATGATACATTCTAAATTCTTATTTTTTTCTGACTTCTCATTATTTTGGTAATAATTGTAACAGAATATTCTCTTACTATTTTCTGGCTGATGCTTTGATATTCAATGAGAATGCGAATGATTTCTTGGTCATCTTTTCATTTCTCTGTCATCCCTTTTCTCTCTATTGTTTCTGTTTTGATTCCCTATCTCCTATATTTCTCCTGCCCCTTGGAATTTCTTCGCTGATAAGATTTTTCATTGCTTTATTTTATTTTTTAAGAAACCACTATCATAAAATGAAATGAAAGAATAACAAGAAACCAACTAGGCCATACAAAAACACAAGCCTAAATAACCAAAGGAACTTCAATTGTTGAGAATAGAAACAAAGGAACACTATTAAAAGAATTAACCAATATAGCCCACAAAGAGCTTCCAGACGTGCCAAACTTCAAATCTTTTCTCTTCCTGCACCTGTAAAAACTTCCATATTCGTCCCTAGCCAAACATATCACAATAAAGCCAAGAACCTGCCACAGAAGGATTCAAAATATGAGAAGTCTCCCTTATATTCAAGAAGAAAATGAATAAAGGGAACGAAACGAGGCATTTCTAACTCCAGTTTCGAATGAACGTCTGCCAATTATGTCTGGCAATAGAATGGATGATAGCATAAAGGGAATGAGTGGACTTCGGGTGACTCATTTCTTAGAAATCAACCTATGTACCCCTCATCTTATCTCCTTATCGTTCCGTTGGGATAATTCAAGTTCCTTTGATCGGTTCAATCAGGTGGTCTTCCCTTATCTTCCTTAGCGTTTAGTGCTTAATGGACCACTAATTTTTCTAAAAACTTCGAATACTTGTGGGGTAATATTAAGGTTCACCTACATTTTTGGAGAATAAAGATGGAACTACTGGTTATGTAGATTATGATTTTACTAGCAACCTTGATAAAAGAAGATTTCTTACTGGGTACATTTTTACTATCCTTTTTTTTTTGGTAGGTACAATTTTACTATCAAAAGAAGGTTGTACTATCAGTTGAAAACTACTTTACAAACTACAATTGTATTGTCCACAATTGAGACTACGTATAAGACTCCTACAGCAGTTTGTCGAGAAATTATTTGGTTGAAGCAACTATTTACGAACTCAGCAAAGACTTGCAAATTACTACAGCCTGCTGTGACTGTCAAAGTACTATTTTTCTTATAAAATTCTTATAAAATATTAGATGTATCATGAAAGGATCAAGGCCATTGACGTGCAATATCATTTTCTACATGAAGCTATTGCTCGGTGATATTATTGCAAGAAAACTTAGCATCAATGGATAATGATAATCCTGATCCTGCTAATATGATGACTAGAACTCATTTCAATAAACAAGCTAAGCATGGCTTGGATCTAGTTGGTCTTTGTAAACTACTTTGAAATTTGGAGAAGATGATTGAAGCTACTTGAAAACTTTTAGGAACAAAATAATAAATAAGCCAAGGTGGAGAATGCTAATGTCGTTTTGATACTTTGATCACACATCATTGCCTCGCTTTGTTAGTGGCTTACATTTTTTCACTTTTCCCACATTGATAATACGCCAATTCATCGTGGTTTTCTAAGCCTATCTATGTACCTCACCTGCTCAATAGTTTTATTTTCACAGCCCAAAATTTACAACAAAGCTTTCTTTTTCTATTATGTTCAGTTTGTTTCAATTCTTTTGAAACTAACTTTGGTTAATTTGAGTATTTGACTATAGAAGCATTTGGTGAGTACTTGAATGTGCACTGTTGTAAATACCATTTTAGATATAATAGAAAGCTTCTCTAGTTTCATTTGTGGATGTGGGCTTATTAGCCAAACCATGTAAGTTCTTTGTGTTCTCTCTCTTTGTGATTTTTCCAACTGACATAGCTAAGTTCCGTTTTCTTTTTCCCCTTTCTGTTGTACATACTCTATTTTATAACAACTCTCTTATTCCTCCACCCTTTTTAGTAAAGATCTTCTCTTATTCCTCTCTAACCAAATATACCACAATAAGGTGAAGAACTCGCCCTGTCAAAAAAATCTCCCTTTATCTTGAAAAGGGTGGTGCAGAATGACTTCCAACATTGTTGCTCAACAATGAATAGGAGGTCAAGGTCACACTGAACCCCCTGAAAAAATATATCCCAAATCTTCTGGACAAAAGAACATCTTCAAAGAACACACCAATAAAGCCCAAACACAAAATAAGGAGATTTCAGCGTAAGGTATATGGTGTTAGTTCCCCTGCATGCAGCCAGCCAAGAGACAAATCTTAACGTTCTTCAAGATTTTAACACTTCAGAGCTTAGAAAAGAAAGGGAGCTGAAATTGAGAGGTGTGAGAAGCATGGTTGCATAAAAGACGCACCATAAAACTAAAAAGTTCAAAGCCACAATCTCTAAACCCCAAGGAACTAGGAAATGCTTATAAGAAGGATGATAAAGAAGCCAACTCAACCAGCTCCCTATCATACAGGGCCCTCCTAATTACCGTTTCCGTTCAATGAAAATTACTAACATAGCTCTTTGAAAGCTGCTCACACACATTTTGAAACAGTTAAAAGAAGAGGGGGTGGAGTTTCTACGCTTTAATATGGTGCTTGAAATTTTCGAAACCCTCCCCCCAAGACTGAGATATCTTACCAGGACCTTAGATTCTTGTGTGAAAAAGTTTGAGAATTCAATAACCAACCAGAATGGTTTGGACGTATTTTCCAGAAATTTTATTCGTTATATTAACATTGTTGTAAATTAAGTAAGGCTGTAGGGTTGTTTCAAAGTTGTGTCCATTAGATCCTTGTCATTTAAAAAATTTCTAAAAGGTCTCATAATTTCGATGAATACCAGGTTCCTGTGTTAACTCTATTAGTTTAACAATTACACCACCAAAAACCCAAACCTACCTGAAATCATCATGTCAGGTAATCTTCAAATAATACAATTAACATGCCACAAAAACATAAACTGATGAAGTTAAAAGACAAAGACCTATCAGCCACAAAACTAAAAATTCAAAGATCTATTACAAATCGTTTCGAGTACATGGACCAAAAAGACACAACCTTGAAAATTAAGAGACCTATTAGAGACATATGCAACCCAAACTTGTAAGTTGTAATTTAACCTAAAATTGAAAGAGCAATTATTAATCAACGGAATCTATACGTAAGTAATTAAGACCAATAGGAGGAAAAGGGTAAGCACAATGCATATATGTCTAGACATTTTTTTTCCATCTTACGCAGAAACCAAAACCAGGACTGTTTATAACATAAACGTAAACTCTACTTCCAGGGCTCGATTACCTCTAATCCTTTCATTTCTACACGAATCCTTATAGGGAGATTTTATAGACACAGCAGTTGTAACAAATTGTTTACCAATAGGGCGCCAAAACGATGTCCGGTTCAGTTGCATAACAAGAACTTACAGGCGTATAGTTCAATAGCAGTAACAGCAAGCAGAGCAGAGACAGTGGCGCATATGTAAAATTTCCTCTCCACAATTCTAAATGCACCATACTCAAGTAACTTCACGTGGAAACTGAACTGGAACCCATCACTTGAATCTCCAGCCTCCATTGCCAGATCCACATCATCTAATTGGCTTCTGGCCACCAAAATCTGCTGGCAAATTTCTGCCTGTTCCTTGCAAATTATGTCCATCTGGTGCTGAACCCGATATAACATGGTGACAGCCTCCAGGAAAAACAGAAAGTAGACGAAGGCACACGAAACACTCAAACCCAAAACCATCCACCAATCAATACACTTGAGGAGGGACGAAGAAGTCTGAGAGATAGCAAAGAAGAACAACCGCCCCCAGATAAGGTAGGCCATAGTTATGTTCTGGGCTCTGCTCTCATGGTACTGCACTCTGCTCTCCTGCTTTTCAACAAGATCCTTCAAAGCCTCAAAATTCCTCTTCAGCTCTCCAAACTCCATGGCTATGGAACCGAATCGGGAATCGAAACCAACGAGTATGGCTGGGAGAGAAAAGGGGCAGGAATGTTTGGTGGGGGTGAATCGAATGATCGTTACACAATATATATAGACAAAGAAAGCAAGGGGACATGCCCGCAAACATTTTCCAGTGGATTTTCATGGAGTCGTCGCCGTGAGGCCGGTTAAAAACGAAGTCAAGGAAAGAGTGAGGAACCTTCCCATGAAAAATTGATTTTGTTGACGGTGGTTGCATCAGCAGACGGACATGGCGGGGAGATGGGACCACCATCCGCCATTGTCATCCGAGAAATTGCTCTACCTGAAGTCGAATTGGGAGTTCCAAAATTGCGGCTTCGATTATTTTATGGATTTGGAACAATTTTTGAATGCCACTAAAACCCTAAGCACGCGACTCTCAGCAACCCACGCAATCAGATGACACGGGACTACGGGAGACGTGTCAGTGTTGTTGGTCGGCTGCTTGAGTGACCCCACAGCAAATTCGGCAATCTCATTATTTTTCTATATGTCGTCAATCTCATTCTCATCAATTACTTTAGTACTTTCACTCTTTCTCTCTCAATGATACTCGTAATGTTTTTAATTAATTATGTTAATATTTTTATTATTCTTTTCCATTTATATTTCTTAAATTTCTTATAATTTTTTAATTTATACCACTTTTATTAGTTGATTGATGTGATTTTATTATAGAATACAAATTTATAGTTTTTTTAAATTTATGAATCATCTTGGCAGACGAGAGAGAAATGATAAAAGTTATAAAATAATTATTAAAAAAGATACGAGGCCCACGTAATAAGGAAGGAGAAACATATTCTTGAGATTGTATTGGATATTTACTTTTAAAGGAGAGTAATTTCCAAATTTAGGATGGATCTATGAAAATTTTCATTCTAATATCAATGATTCTCAATTTCTTAAAACAATACAAACTTGCATGGCCTTTTTTTGGTTGAAAATAGAAGATAAATGTAATGGAAGTTAAAATAGGAGGTAAAATTGACCACACTTATCCAAAATTAATGTTTAATTTGATGAAATAAAACTATTATAGTAAAAATCGATTAACCCTCGCATACGTTCAAAGCAAAATTAAAAAAATTTCCTGAAAGGGGTAGTTTAGTAATTACAAAGTATAGAAAACGATTTAGCTTCGCCTTGCAATATATCCTTGTCGTATTTGGTTTGGTATTGCTATCGTGCATGACTTCGAAAGTATAAGAGATTTAGGCTGTACACCTAATTTTCCTGGGATTGTAGTTCAATCGGTCAGAGCACCGCCCTGTCAAGGCGGAAGTTGCGGGTTCGAGCCCCGTCAGTCCCGACAGATCAAACGGATTGGTCATCGGATGGCGTGGCGGATTGTGATCCTGCAGTCTATAAAAGGTCAAAAACATGCTGGCTTATTTAGTTTACATGTGGCGTTTGTATTGACGCCAAGTCAAGAAGTTGGAGGCGTCGCGCCGATCTCTACATCATACAACCAACGCTCTTTTCATTCATTGACACGTGTGGATCACATAGTTGTCCAAATCAGTTAGTTGGAGACATCTTCATTCGAAAATATGATACTTATTCTATTCATTATCTGTCACATCAACATCATATTGACGTAGGTCCACTAACTTTAAAAATTATTTATAAAGACAAAATTTTTGCAAGGAAATTGTTCATTCTAAATTTCTATTACAGATTTTATGAAAATAAGAGTGATTGAATCTAAATTATGTTTATTGTTTATACGCACACTTAATAGATAAATATATGTTTAGCAAATTTGTTTTTGAAAACCATTAATTATATGATTGAAATAGTAAATGTATTTATGTTTTTAGTGTTTTCACATTTTAAATTTGAAATTATACAATTTAAAACTATATAAAATAGATAATGTTGATGGAGAAATTCGAGGAGGACACACATCGAGCACTTAGGGCAACAACGAGGTGCGGGGTCACAAATAGTTACCATCGTACGATGCGCATGCATACGGGCACGTCACTGTCATAGCTATAAGGCATCGAGGATCGTAGCCAACAGAAACCTATGGTTGCAGGGGGACAACCCAACAGACAGAAGTGCTACCTATTGATTGTCGGAAACGTCTGCTCTCCTCTACCACAGTCAACTCGGCTTGCCTTTGTACCTCTACCACCATCCTTCCTGGTCGGCCCTCCGTGCTTATAAAAGGAAAGTGCGTCCTCGCTACCAAGTAAGTGAAAAATATGTCATTAAATCTTTAGTGTATACTTCTATTCGTTTTTACTCTGACTATTGACTTTCATCATATTGCATTGGACGGGACGTCGCACCAACATCTAGTTTTCTGGTTGCAAACTCATTTAATCATCGACGAGCGAACACGTCCGAGGGACATGTGAACCTCTTAAAAATTCGTCTTCAATTATCAAATTAGGTACATCAACATTCATATCAGGTAAATTAGGTGCATATGTTAGTATGTTAATACTCATACGCAAATATATCGACTTTATTGATTTCTTCATTAATATAACAAATTAGATACATCAACATTCATATCAGACAAACATTTAGATTAAAAGAGATAAACATCTTATCTAAAATCTGTAAATAACACAACACAATATTAAAAAAACTAAAAATATATCAGATATATCATTGAACTATCATAAGTATATTGCTAGTATATCAATAATTATAATCAGATATATCAATGACATAAAATATCAAATTAGGTATACATATCAGATATATCATTTTTTAGACTCTACATTCGTTAATAAGGGTATATGAGACTTTTTTTTTCTTTTCAATTCTACATAAGTTAGACTTCCAAAATTTGTTACTTTTACAAAATTCAAACTACATTTTTACAAATTATTATTATTATTTGTTGATAGCAAATTTCGAAGAAGTCCACGTGTCTCTTAGACAATGGTTCGTGCCAAGGGGCAAATGAGTTTGCAACCAAAAAATTCGACGCTAATGCAGTGTCCTATCTAATACACTCCGACACTCAAGTCAGTAATTTAGAGTAAGGAAAATAAGGGTAAACATCGTAGGGTTTTAGCGAGAGATTTTTTTCACTTATTTGGTGTTGGTGGGATCCTCCTTTTTATAGGCACGAAAGATGACCAAGAATGACGAGGTTGAGGTGATAGGGGTGCGTTGAGCCGTACGTAGTCTTGACAATGGAGTGTACACCCTCCATTTGCAGGTCTGCAACCGACAGTCTGTGGGTATCAAGTTACAGTCTTCGACGTATTCTTCGTACAACAATAGTATCGACGCACCCGCATGCCAGCGCAGTGTATAGTGGTAACCATTTGTGTACCACGTCTCACTGTCACTCCTGGAGTCTCTGTCTCGTTAAATTTATCCTCAACATTATTATTATTATTATTGTTATTATTATTTTTGATGATTTTGCGAGTTCCAAAAAATAACTCTATTTAAACATGACTTTCTAAAAATAATCATAAAAAGTTTAAAGTAGTTTCTTTAGTTTTTTATTTATGGGAAAGTGAAGATGAGTTGGTCATTAGGTAATGGGAATCAAAATTGTTGCCACGTACCTCGGCGGTCAGAAAAAGAAGAAAAAAAGCAAGAGCTAAGCTTCCACGTCATATTCGACATCCAACACAACGTTCTCCAATTTGTGGGCCCCGGTCTTACGTGTGACCTCACCACCATGGAAGGGAAAACGAAAACCAAAACTCTACGCTACAGAAAATGGAATGTGTAATTATTTTCTTATTGTTAATTATTTTTTAATAACTAATTTAAAATTGAAAGAGACGACGACCATTCCCAAATTACAATGGGCAGTTTTTGACCTACCAATTATGTATCTCTCTCGGCAATTTTGATATTTCAACGTTTCTTATTTGCCAAATTGACCCTTACGTCGACATATGGAAAGGGAAAATATCGTTTTTTTCTTTTGTAGACCATATATCATCGACATGTCGAAATATTGACATATCCACAACAAATCTTCAACTCCATAATTATTGTACTAAAAAATGCTTCACAATTGTGTATAATACAACAACCTTTCAATTGTATGTCTCTAAAAAGTTGAATTTTAAAAAATATAATAAGCCTATTATATATAAAATTGAAAAATTAAAGATAACCGTATATTTTTTTAAGTTTAGAGACCTGTTAAATAATTTTAACGACTAAACTTAAATTTTGAAATTTCACTACAAAGCATAAATTTAATAGGTAAAATGTCACGACTTTTCATTTTTTTTTTCAAATATAGTAAAAATATAACTTTTATGAGTGCGTTTTATTTCTAAAATTTCTACACAATTTTTAAAACCTAACTAAAAAAATAGAAATGAGGAACAATAATAATTACCAAATACTTCGAAACAAAAAATAAGAAACGAAAAAATTACTAAAAAATAAACGCGGATCTTAAAATGCTTATCACCACTTGCCATCGATTACTTCCCAATAATTTTGGTTCAAAATGCAACAAAGGGTCACAAAAACTAAATCTCACCTCTTGACTAAAAGTACTGAAAATCCAATGATTTCCAGACGTTTCAGATTTTGTCACTGAGTTGTTAGACTGTTTGGGATTGTTCTCCAAATATAACCCATGAGTCAGAGCTAAGTGGCAAGTTGTGTCGGGTTGACTTAGCGATATAGTGATTACAGAATAATGACCACTTAATTAAAAGTAACTAATAATTAAAATTTAAATACTATTTTAGTTTTATTACTTCTAGATTGATTCATTTTAGCAATTGTAGTTTTAACATATCCATAGTTCAAGTGGTTAAGATATCTATCTCTGACCAAAAAATCATGAATTCGAATCCTCACCTCCACATGTTGTACTAAAAAAAAATTCATTTTGGTCATGTAATTTGAATTTGTATTCATTTTAACCACTGTCCAGTTTCTTTCGTTGGAAAGTAACGAAAACCAAAGTTTTTTTTTTTAAAAATTCTATACACAGCAAAAACCACAAAGTTATGACTAAATTTTAAGCAATTTATTGATTATAGTGTCGTACTAAAATTGTAATAGTAAAAATAAGATAAAAATAAAATAGGGCAAAAATGAATGTTTCAAATTACAGGGACTAAAATAGACCAAGACTGGAGACTGAAAATATAAGATGAAAATGGACACTTAAAAAAATACAGAGATGAAAATGAATTAAAGTGTACGGTCCAGTGACTAAAATAGTATTTAAACTAATCATAAGTGATTACAAACTTTATAGAATTTTCATCCAATCATCCACCAGTGATCTCCCAGCAAGATTCCACAGCACAATGATACATAAAGCCTTGAATCTCAAGAAATCAAAAATAACCCACAACCAACGAGAGAAGAACAAAATAAATGAAGGAAAAAAGTAGTAGCAAAGCATACCTATTTGTCGACAATTTGCTGTCCAGAATCAGGTTGCAATTGAGACCTCCAATGGTAGTTCCTATCCACAAGGTCAAGCTCTAAGTTCTTTGTCTCAAGAGTTGGACATTCCTCTAATAGAACGACTAATCTTACTTTAATATTCTTGGCATGCGACTCAAGACCAAAACTGCAGAAGTCCCAAGAAGCTCTAGGCTAAATTTTGTCAATGATCAAACGGTAAATAAAACATCTTAATGGCCCACAATGAGCTAACACTAATAAAATTAATAATAAACTTGGAACTTAAATCTTCTTCCTCGGTTGGAGGTTGAGTACTTCGGGTACTAGGATGATGGTCCCTTGGTTCATATTAGTTGGTCAAGAGAGGCAAGTTAGTATGCTTGTCTTTCTGTTTTCATGCAAATATTCAAAACTTGCTTTCCACTTATCCAATGAACTAGTTCTTGTTCCTAGGTTTTCATTATTCGAATCTGTTTTAAAGTAAAAATAACAAATCAACTCACAACATTACAAAAAAAATGCCAGAATTGTAAGTGATAGAGTGTTCAAAAAATTTCAGAATCGGTCATTTCCTTTCAACAGATAACTTAAAATTTCATAACTTTTCAAATCCACAAATCCATAATTCTTTGTTCCTCGAGGCTCCCATTGAGTCTATTTTGGGGTAAAACTAATAATTCAGAAGTGTTTCTTCTAGCATTTTCAAGGTGCGCCTATGGCACGATGTGAGGTGAGGTGTACCTTGCCAGAAGCAATGGGAAGCACCACCATCACAACCTATCAATAAGGAACTGGATAAATACCAATTCTACCCAAATGGTAAGTTATTCACGAGATCTTGTAGTTGTGAACTTCCATTTAGAATAAGACTTGTGATTTACCCAATTCTTCGAACCTTTTTCATTTAACCATTCCCTTCTTGATTTCAAGCTAGTTTTCAGAAAGTATTCCATCATGCTTGATTTCCTTAATTTCCTATGAAAATATACAAAATAAAATGACCAAAAAATCACTGAATGAAACTTGAAACCAATAAAGAATTTCATACCAGAGGAGGGACACAGTATCCAACTTGAAATTACAGCGAACAATAATTACTGGTGAATACCATATGCTCCTGGACATCCTCTGGAGCTCATTTATCATACGGGTTTTTGAACTTCATTCCACTGGTCCATGGACCTTTGTCCTGGAAGACATGCCAAGCTGAACAAAACTTTTTATTACCATAACTAAAGTTATATAAGAATTGAGCTACAAAATTAGATGATAAGATATGGTCTTGTAAAATTTAATTCCAACACTGAAAGTCATGCAAAGATGACAGAAACCAAATAGATAAGATAGATTGAAAGATAAAAGGATATTCCCAGGTCATTTGAGGTACTTGGTACTTGGACCCTCCCCTCTCGAGATCACTAAAGTCTAAACTACACTAAACAATTAAGAATTGACTACCTTCATCATTTCCTCCTCACCCTATTTATAACAGAACCCTACTAACTAATTCCTTAACTCATTATTAACGTACCTTTACTATTTTCCTAACAACTCTAATTAACTCCAAAGGCCATTCCTATGAAAAAATAACATTTCGAAGCTCAAAAAACAACCATATATTGAAGCATAGGATTTACCCATGCCTCAAAAGAATTAATATCAATAACTTTTTGAATTAACAAGAAAATTTTTTATAGTGAAGGAAGCCTTGGCAATCCAAATGTAAAAACAGCTTTGGCCTCTGAGGTCATATCTTTAACTTTACTACCACCTGAGATGCTAGGGACTAATTCAACCATATATATTTACCAGTGGTAAACAAAAAGTGACATACATATTCCTGAAACATAGCAAATAAATTTCAACAACAGATTGAGTGCATTGAATCAAACAACAAAGTGAGCTCATTTTCTAACAATAACATGCAAAAAGTGCAGTAAGTGAAAATGAGCTAAAAAAATTCATTGAAGGCAACAAAACCATGCAGTAAAGCAAACAAAATGAGCTAAATACAGTAATAATTAAGGAAAAAATGTCAAAAAGCCAACAAAATAAGTTGTGGATAAAATAGTAACTTTTGACTTTTTTTTTTATTTTAATTTAGTTAAGAATTCAAATATATTTTTAAAATGGATTAAAAACAACTTAAAGAAATTGTGAGGCATAATTTTTAAAACCAGTAAAACATGCAATTAGTGCAAGAAAAAAGACCGTATCAAATCTAAATGCCAAAGGTCGCAAAATAAGAATTAAAGAACGGCTATAACTCAGAAATAAAAACAACTAGAAAGTTCTAGTCCAGCCACTATAGTTGAAGATGACAAGAGTGATGGTGATCTCTAAATTATTTCTAGCAGCAACTTTAATCCTTCTAATGGTTAGATTTATGGTTTCGGATGTACATTTCATATGTATCCAGAAAATAGAGGATCGTATAAGTTATAAGATATTTGGCTGATGATGTGAGACCTGTTCTAAATTTAAACAAAAACCGACTTTCTTCGAGTGCTCTTAATTCCAAAGGGTTTAAGTATACTCACAAAGGTGGAGTTTGGAAAGTTAGCAAAAGTGCTCTTGTGGTGAAAGGAAAAGCAAGTTATACCAACCTATATGCTTAGCGTTATTATGCAATTATAATAGTGATATAGCAATTTTAACATTCACTGGCATATGCAGTCTTGGGCATATGAGTGAAAACGGGATGGTTGGATTGAATGATGACTTCTAGATCATCAGAAAATCAATAACTAAAACTTTATGAACAACACGTGTTCAAGAAACGAAAGAGAGTTAGATTCATGAATGTGATTTGTTGCCTTGCCCCCATTAAGAAAATGAATAAAAGATTAAATAGATTGTAATGCATTAGCTTTCGGATTTAATGATATTTTAACATAATATTAGAGTAGGAGGTCGTGTTCAAACTCCAGTAAGTATAATCATTTGCATCCCATGTCCAAGAGATCTAGAGGTCCTGTTGGGTTATCTTGTTGCTGTTCAAAAACGTGGGAAAGATTGGCTTCTTGAGATCTTTTCGAGCTGGTGGTTCAAGGATAAAACAAGAAGCTTTTGGTCAAATGCCTTTAAAGTTCTCATTTGGTTCTCTGGAAGGAAAAACATGCCGGGATGTTCACAGATAAGACTAATTCTTTAGAGTTTTTTTTTTTGTGATCTTGCACAGTTCAGGCCTCGTATTGGAGTGCCCTTTCACAAGTTGTTTTGTAACTACCTAATGTTCACTATTAATCTTGATTGGAGGGCTTAGGGCTTCTGTTTGATCCTTCCTTTTGCTTTTCTTTGTGCTAATTTTCAAGCCCACATGAGGGAGAGTATTAAGAATATCAATAAAAGAGCAATTGTATTCGGTTTCTTAACATTCATGCAATCTAAGTAAAACTGAAAGAGCAATAATTAGATTGACTAAATCTATTCCTAAGTAGTTAAAGACGAAGAGGAGAAAATGAGAAAACTCAATGAACATATGACTGGATATTTTTTTTTTCCAATCATACGAAGCAGAAAATAAATTCAAGACCCTATACGACATAAACATAAAATCTACTTCCATTGGAGTTATCAAACCCTTTTCCAAGACACTTTATGACATAAGCATAAAATCTACTTCTATTGAAGATCAATTACCTCAAACCCTTTCCCAAGACACTTTATAACATAAACATAAAATCTACTTCCGCTGGAGATCGATTATCTCAAATGCTTTTACAAGACCCTTCATAACATAAACATAAAATCTACTTCAACAGAGGATGGATCTTCTCCAATCCTTTTCCAAGACCCTTTATAACATAAACATAAAATCTACTTCCACACAGGGGATGGATTATCTCAAATCCTTTTCCAAGACCCCTTATAAATAACATAAGATCTACTTTCACAAACATACTCTACGGGTCCTTTTCCAAGACCCTTTATTACATAAACATAAAATCTTCTATCATTGGGACTCCATCGCCACAAATCCTTTTATTTCTACACAGTCTCTTACATGGAGATTTTATAACCACCACACTCAGATAAATAGTACCTGTACCAGTAGGGAGCAAAATCGAAACGATGTCCAGTTCAGTTGGTGCATAATGAGTGCTTACAGGCGTACAATTCAAAAGCAGTAACAGCAAGCAGAGCACAGAGAATGGAGCCAATGTAAAATCTCCTCTTGAGAATTGTAAATGGATGGTACTCAAGTACCTGGACTTGGAAACTGAACCCGAACCCATCACTCGAATCTCCAGCCTCAATTGACGTCTCCACAGCATCCAAAATCTGTCGGCAGAGTTGGATCTGCTTCTTGCAAACTATGTCGAAATGGTAGTGAGCCAAATACAACATGGTGAGGGTCTCCAAGAAGAACAAAAAGTAGAGGAAGGAACACGAAAGGCTCAAACCCAAAACCATGGACCAATTAGAACACTTGAGTAGGAGGGAAGAAGAAGAAGAAGAAGAAGCCTGGGACACACCAAAGAAGAAGAATCGCTCCCAGATAAGGTAGGCCATAGCTATGTTGTGGGCTCTGCTCTCATGGTAACGCAGTCTCGTCTCTTGCTTCTCGGCCAGATCCTTCAACTCATCGAAATTCTTCCTCAGAACTCCAAACTCCATGGCTATGGAACCAATTTGAGAATTGAAATCGAGCCCTTGACTGGGAAGATTCGGTGTGGGGTGAATTGGATGATGATTGTGGGTTTATATAGTTGTCGCATGAGAGATGGTAACCCTGATTGGGAAGATTCCATTCAACCCATTGACACTTGAATGAAAGCTCCATCTTTTCCAATAAAAAAACAAAAAGAAAAAAAGAGAAGAGGGTTCCCCAGGTTCGGGAAGATACCTAAAATTTCCATAACATGGATGTCAATGTCAGTATGCACCAAGAAAATAATGTTTGATAAACCCTTTCCCTTTTCCACTTTACCAATGTTTTCTTTTTCTATTTTTTACTTTTTAGAGAAAAAATCATTTTATATTCCAAATGAGGCGAGGGCGGAGGAGGCCGAGTGTATAACCGTTCCGTTTAAAACTGATTTGAATCAGGTTAATGTTTTTTTTAATACAACATATAGAATCGGAGAACCATATATTATTGCTGAGCTATTAGATATAATTTAGATCCTATTATTTGAATTATGTTTTCTATTTAAATTACTATTAAAAATTATAGTGATATAAATAGGTTATTAGGTTTGTATCAAAATCATTTCATTCCATCTATTTATAGTCCTATACATATCTTTTTTGTTTTTTACTTGTTTGTCCCTAATTTCTCTCGTGTTCAGAATTGCTTGTTGTTGTCTTGCCGCACGATTGTAGATGTATCATCAAATTTATGGATTAACTCGGAAAAGAAGTTAGCCACAAAATTTAATTGTTTAGTAATTTACTGTTTCCCCTTTTTTCCTCATTTCATTTTTCTAATCAAGGAAGGTATAGTTGCATTTGATCAGTGTTTTTATTCTATTTTTTTATTGAAAAAAAATAGCTTACTAATAATTTCTTGTTTCTTGCTCATTATCTAAAAGGAAAGGTGAAAATTCTATGTGGAAATTAATTTTAAAATTAAATATTCAAAACTATTGTGTAGATATATTTAAAACAATCCATTTAACTTTTTTTTTCTAAACATGTAAAAATATATATATATTATTTTATCAATTTTACTTATAAAACTTTTTTTCATGTTGTATTTAATCTTTGATATTTATTAAATATTTTATTGGTAAAACAAGTTTTTAAATGTCGATGTGAATTAAAATATCAAGGTCTCAATTTCATGAAATGTCAATGGAAATATCGAAAGAATGTCGACATTGATGAATATCTCTAAAAAGGTTAAAAAAATAGAGAATATATTTAAATTATCAAATAAGTCTTTCTTCATTTCTAAATAAGTTTAAAAGGATTAATATTAATATTATGTCTATATTAGTGATATTTTGTAGATATTTTTTAAATTTATCAATTTTTTTTTGCAATACTATAGAGATATTTAATCACTCCTCTTGTCAATATCGAACTCATGAACACATGAAAATATTGACATATCAATGAAAATCTAAAACCCTTAAAAGTGATAAAATAATATTTATTTTATATAGTCAGAAAAACGCTAGAAAACAAAAACAAGAAACTTGATTTCATTGTTTTAAAAAAAAATTACACAATTTTGAAAATATATTCTATAAATGATAAACGATAAATATCAAACGATTTGTAATTTCAAAAATAGAAAAAAAAAGGAAAACATTATTAAACAGATAGAATTATGTATCCCAATTGAAAAACTTGTCATGGATAACATGAAGCCATAATTTTTCTTCAAAAACTACATCTAGCCTCTTGACTAAAACCACTGAAAATCCAAAGATTTCCATATTTGGTTAAAAGAAAATAAATTAGGAACTCTTTGGGCATGTGAACCAAACCTTAATTCACAAACACTAAAAACCTCGTTCAATTTGAGATTAGAGTGAGGGTTAGGGAAGAAAGATCAAGCTCTTAAGATAAAGAAAAAGTTCTTTTAACTCGGGTCAAAGAATCCATAAATAGGACAACCATACTTCAATACTCTTGATATGCAACTCAACACAAAAACTGCAAAAGTATCGAGAAGCTCTAGTCTAAATTTTATCAATGATCAAACGATAAACAAAATGTCTTAATCGTCCAACCTAAGACCAATAAGATAAAATAATAAGATATAGGCCCTAATCGACCATCATGGCAGGAAGATATAATACCCTACTGAATACAACAAACCCCCAAGGGGGAGTCCGGTTGGCAACAACTTGGGATCTCTTGATCATACCTCCGTTATTTAAATCGTGTATCTCCGTCAYTTGTAGTGATTTATCATTCAATGAATGACTGAAAAATCTAATGTTTGTTACTTTGTACATAAGTAAAACATTAAAAATTTTATTTATTCCTTCTACCCATCCAGAAGGAGGCCTCCTATATTCGAGTAACATTATTTCATTAAATAGCAGAATCATGGATTGGGAACTATACTAGGGACCTACCTAATTTTATTGTATAAATTTTTGGGCTCAATGATTGGACCATACAAACTAGAAATACCTTTCTTCGATAAAGGAAGAGATTACTCGATCTATTTCCGTATAACTCATGATATATATAATAACTTGGGCACCTGTTTCAAATGCATATCCCATTTTTGCACAGCAGGGTTATGAAAATCCACGAGAAGCAACCGGCCGTATTGTCTGTGCCAACTGCCATTTAACTAATAAGCCCGTGGATATCGAGGTTCCACGTCTTATTGGTCTCAAGTTCAAACCTTCCAATGAGCTTAATATGAAAAACCTCTGATGTCTCATGAGGGAGCATAACTCCAACTCACAGTAATAAATATATATACGTCAAAGTTGGGGTAAAATAGTAAAATGGCATGAGCATGAAAATCATGTATCCAAGGATCCATCCTGATGTAATCAAATAGTAACAAGTGATGGAAAGACCTTCAAGATCTTCCTAGAAATGAATGCAAAGTTAAATTTCATGGGGCTCTCATTATACATGTATGAGCTCGGTCATTTCCTCGTAAAGCTTACATCTCTAGTCTCCGCTTAATCTTCGTTGCTTCTTGCATGTTCCACCTTCCTTATGGTGTCTCTTGTAAAGCAAAGCCTCTTCTTGAATAGGACTTTCAAGCTTGAATGGTCAAGTAGGCTTGGAACTTGCTTGGATCTTGAGCTTGGGCTTAAATATTTCTTCCTATGTTGGAGGTTGAGTTCTTCAAGTACTAGGATGATGGTCCCTGGGTTCATATATCATAACATTACAATAAAATAAAATAAAACAAATAACACAATTGTTTGTAATAGAGAGTGCTCACAAAATTTCAGAATCAGTCATTTCAGTGAACATATAACTTCAGAACCACAAATCCATAATTCTTTTCTCCTTGAAGCTCCCATTTGAGTCTATTTTGGGGTAAAATTAGTAATTCAGAAGTGTTTCTTCTAGCATTTTCAAGGCGTGCCTATGGCATGAGATGAGGTGAGGTGCACCGTGCAAGAAGCAATGGGAATCACAAGATATGGATAAGGAACTGGATAAATACCAATTTTACCCGAATTGTGGGCTATCCACAAGATTCTTGTGATCTTCCATTTAGAATAAGTTTAGGGATTTACCCAATTCCTTCCAACCTTTTCATTTAACTTTTTCCTTCTTGATTTCAAGCTAATTTTCAGCAAGTATTCCATCATATTTTATTTCCTTCATTTCCTAAAAGAATATACAAAATAAAATAACCAAAAAAAATTACTGAAACCAATAAAAATATTCATACCAGAGGAGGGATACGCTATCCAACTTGAAATTACAGCAAACAACCATTACTGGTGAATGTCATAAGCTCCTCGACATCCTCTGGAACTCATTTATCATACGGGACTTTGAACTGGACCTTTATCCTGGAAGACATGCCAAGTTGAACAAAAAGATTTATTACCATAACTAAAGTTATATAAGAACTGAGCTACAAAACTAGATGATAAGTTACGTTTTCTAATTCTTATATCCAGTACTGAAAGTCATGCAAAGACTAACATTTCAAAGCTCAAAAAACAACTATAAAGTGAAGCACAG